CACATACACCTAGGATGCTTCGAGGGTAAGTAAAACACAAGCTAATTTTCATTTTTGGGTGAACTAACACTTTAAAATGAAAGCTAATTAGATATAGAGAGAGTATCTACGGGGCAGTACCTTGATGAGGTAGCGTGTGATGTCTCGTCCAGCGATGTCCAGACGACGCGTAAGATGAGGAAGAGAAAAGCCTTCGTACACTGGACAGATATGAGTGACACCGTCACCAGAGTCCACCACCACACCCGTCAGCAGACCTGCACAGAGAACAGGCATTCACAAACATCAACTTATCAAGTCTGGCATGGAGTTGTGCTTTTATTAATATAATATTATATAACATTTTATTATGTGAACATTTTGTTATTTTATTATTTTAAATTTATTATTTTATATATTATTATTATTATACAACATTTTATTTCGTGTTATATTTATTATATTACATTTTCTATAAAAAAATTTAAATGACAAATGTTGCATTGGCAAATGAAATTTAAATTTAAGTTCTAAAATTACTAAAACAGAAATAAAAAAAGATCATTACAAAACTAATAAAAATGAATAGAAATTATAAAAACACATAACAAAATTACTAAAACATCTAAAATAAAAATGAAAACTGAAAGTATAAAAATAAAAGCTCATTCAAAATATTAATAATACTATAAATGTATTTAAATAATACTAAAACAACACTGCCTCCCATTTTTTTTTTTTACCATAATTAAATATCATAGAAATTTAAATGTTTTTCCAGGTGTTAAAAACATACTTTTAACCTGACATTTCCTGGTTTTCTTATGACAATGAATTTATTCATTTACTTTTTATTGCCATACCAGCATCTATGGCTACTTATGACCATGAACCCTGTATATCCTATTTGGACACAGCACACTCATGCCATTCGGTACAGACCAGTGCATTCTGGGTAATGTCAAACACTGACACATACAAGCAAGATCATTTCATCAGGGTTAGAGAGGGAACAAGATTTATGATTAGTCTGAACATTAATGCAATAATAATGTCAAACTGCAACCAGCTCTGCATCTCCTGAGAGGGTTTGGAGAGAGAATCGCTACAGGTTAGACCAGGGGTGGGGAACGTTGATCCTGGAGGGCCTGTGTCCCTGCAGAGTTTAGCTCCAACCCTAATCAAACAATCAAGGTCTTCAGGATACAGGTAGGTATTTTTTTTCAGGGTTGGAGCTAAACTCTGCAGGACAGTGGCCCTCCAGGATCAACGTTCCCCACCCCTGTTCTAAGCCTAGGCCCAGCAGCTCTCATCTGGGCAAGCTAGACAAGCCTCATGACAAGTGAGATAATCCTCACACACACACACTTACCATCTTCCTATAATCCTACAGCACCTCAATACAGTAACAGAGGAGAGAAAGACAAATATGGAGAGAACAGGAGATGAGCGATGAGAGCGAAACTCCTGAAGAGTAAAGACTGATGCAGGATCAGCGATCTTATCACACTGATTCTTGAAAAAAGGGACAAAACATGTCCAAAAGACAGTAAGGGAATCAGTATACTTGGGGCATTCATTGCTTATATTTTAAAAATAATTGTATTGAAATGCATAAATTAGTTCTCTTAATTTGTTGCTTGAAACAATGTTTGTTAGTACTTCATCCGTTGTAACGACCGTTGGTTCTTTGGCAGTAAGCATCAATGCTGTCAGATGAAGGTTTTGATTCATTTTTAAAGAAGTATTTTATTCTTTGCTCAATTAATTCATTTTATATAGACTTTACGTAGCTCCGCCCCGTTTCAGCACATCATCTTCACATTCAGTCTTCTGTCTTCCGGTTTGTATTTCCACAGCGTGAAGTTAAGTAAGTTCGTATGTATTTATGAATGAAGCACCCCTTTTAAAATCTTCCTGGTCTACTGACGTATGTTACGACATCCGCTTCAAACATTACAATGCACATGATAACTTTCATTAACTCTACAATTAGTAAATCCACTTCACCAGCTAACTGCTGTTCAACAGCCATGCTGTAGAGCTACTGCACAAATGGAAGCTCAAAGACAAAATAATAAAGATGACTGCACACTTATTTCTCTGACGCATAATGTCAACATAACGCAAAAAATGTCAACTGTACTACATGATATGAGGTCTTATTTGCATAAGAACATATATTTAATATTAAAAAAGAGGATAGAGAATGAAAGGGATTTAGGAACAAGATTTTTTTTTTTTTAAGTGCTTTTTTTTTTTTTTGAAGACTTTGTACTCTTTTAGGATGGATCAAATTTAAATGGAATGCTTTTCGTTTACACAAATTGAGTTATTAAGTACATAAATGTCAATTTTGGGGCATTATCATAAAACACGTTCCCCTACATCGTTCATTAGCTGAAAGACCTTTGTTTAGAAATATATCCATTTCTAATTAACAAAGTATTTAAAAAAAAGTGTCCAGGATTAACACTACACTCAGGTGATATGGCTAAAAAACAACCTCTTAATATTTTTTCAGTCTTCTGACAATTTTTACAGTATATCTCAATATTTCTGTATTTCCTTTTTAATCAAAGATTAATATTTCAGCCAGAGGAACCTGTAAGAACTCCACCCCCAGTGAAAACGACTGCAGGAAGTTCAAGTCAAGCAGGAAGTTACTCAAGTTTCTGGTTATGCCCCGTTACCAAATTCACAGCATTTCTTTGAAATCCTTGGAATGACAATTTACAACCTCTGATACAAAATCCAGTGAGTGGCCTACATAGGCAGCATTTCAAGATTATAAGCATACTTGTAATTCATTTAATACCAGAAAGTGTAAATAAAAAGTTTCATCTGATCAAAAATGAACTGTTTAGTTACTCATGGGGGTTGCACTTCAATACAGATGCAGCTTTAGGAGACTGCTGTAGGGTGTATACAGCAAGGCAGCTCACTGGGTGATTGGGACAGAGCCCAAGTCATGGTGTCAGTGTAGGGAAAGATTTAGGGTGCAGTTTAGTGGGGAAACTTTACCTTGATCTCGATGTTTCCCACTTTGGCTGTGGAGCGGATGATCGGTCTCCCCACCAGAGCCGGAAAAATGTGCTCTGGGAAATTAGAGCCGGCATATCCACACTTCACAAACTGAAAAGACAGAGTTGTGAAAAAATTATTAAATGTTGCCTTGGCAACAAACAGAAATAAATATGTTGAAGTACAAAAATTACAAAAATAAAAAAGACAAAAGCACATAAACTTAGATGAAAGTAAATGAAAAATAAATGAAATCTGAAAATATATATATAAAAAAACCCTCAAAATATTAAGACAGAAAGACACTAGTTATTAAAAATATGACCAATCAGACTGAAAAAATAAATAAATGTTGCCTTGCAACTAACAGAAATAAATTAAAATAGATAAATTAATTTAAAAATTAATAAAATGACTAAAACTGTAAAAAAAAAAAAATTAAAGACAGACAGATCACTAGCCATTAAATGAAAAATGAAGGGGAAAAAAAGAAAGAAAAAGCAAACGAACAAGATGCTTTAGTAGTTTTAACAGGAAGGGCCCAATATTAGTGTTTTCCAGTTTAAAATAAATTCATATTATTTGTGCATTTTCGAAGGTACCAGGGTAATTTTAATCATATAAATAAGTAGACAATTTTGTGTACACTTATTCCGGATTATAAACACAATTTTAATCAGTTACCATAGTGTTCTGGACATTTATCACGGCGATATCATGTTTTTCTGAACATGTATTAAGCTAATACCATGGTATTGCAGAATATGTACCACAGTATTCTTTACCATAAACATGTACCCTCAGACAGAGAGAATGATGATGGAAGGTGTTTGTCTCGTATGTCACTTCCTCTCTCGGCCAGATGTGAGGTTACAAACTCGGAAGTGAGTTTGAGATCATCTTTATCTTTTACTGACACAAACACACATGCATCATTGATAAAAAAATGTTTTTGCATAAACATGTAATTTCATTAATAATGCATGCTCACACTGCGACCTCATTCAAATATCCATGAAAATATGTGTAAGTTAAGTATCAATCGTGTCAATACATTCGCAAAGCTCCTACAAAACATCCACATGCAAAGCATTTATAATCCGGCCCGATCTATGATTTCCGTGCATCCGATCAGAGCTTTTTTCCACATTACAGGTCGAGTGTAAATCACAGATAATCTCTGTGTAAAATAAGGTACTATCAGTTCACTTCCTGTTCCGCTGCATCTTTCTCCGGCAAGCCGTCTTTAAATCACATACAGCCGCGAAAAAAACTTAATTCAGACCGGACCGAGCCGTATGAGGTCCGCAGTCACACTCACCCCGGTCCCGTTGTCACACACCACCACTTTTCTGCCTTGACTGTCCATGTTTCTACAGACTCGGTGAATCCGCCCTGATCTCAGCTCCGCCGCCGCCGCCGCTGCTGCTGCTGTCTTCGGCCAGGCGGAAGTCAGCGCCCTGCCCTTCACACCTCTTCAAAATAAAAGTCAGCCACGACGCTTCAAAACAAAAGCATATGTACAGCTACAAAATAAAAGCTTTTTACACTATTTATAAATATAAATGACCTAAAATACCCACCTTCAACGGATAGAGGTTTTCAACTGGTATTATGTCAGGACCCAGAATATTCTACACAATAAGCAAAACGATCTTAAAAATCAAAGACATAAAATGATATGTGCTGTTTAGCATTGTGAGAACAGACTACTTGGAAACGACTTCTTTAAGTATTTTTAAGTGCAGGTGACAGTTCAGGTAAAAACATAAATAAATAAATTACATATATATCTCACTAATTTCATATTTTTTTGTTCTAATTTTGACAAACTTTAGATAAAATTACAGACAAAAATTAAAAGCAAACAGGACAGTAGCTGTTCAATGGTACCAAGATGCACTCAAATACGTCAGTTCAAAAACTGCTGTTTAGAAAATACTTGAAGTTATTTTAAAGTCATATACTCAGTGAGGACAATTGAGGCATTATAACCAATTTACTTCTCTCTTGCATTTAATTGATCATTTCCATCTTCCAAGTCCAAAATAAACAAAAGCATAATCTCATAATCTCTTGTTCACTGGTCCCATGTCCAGGAAAGAGTTCAAAATGTAAAAGACAATAGATACACAATGAAAAATCTACAATTAATCAAAAAACGATTGTTCAAAGAGTGACAGCAGTTCAGCTTTCACAGCAGAACGTTAAAAAATACAAGTTGTAAAAATAAAATTAACAGCTTAAATAAGAATGAAACAGTAACAGCTAATTTTGTTGACCTGAACAAGCAAAAGCAAATCAGACATCAAATATTCAGACAGCTTCCAGCATCAAACTCAATGCCACACATCTTCCAGAGCTTGAGGAGGTACTACGGCTCTGATTCCCCATAAAAGATACAATTAAATAAAAGAAAGCTGTAAACTGGTGACAAATGAAGCACAATGATTTAAAACAAAAACACACTCGGTTCAAGCACACAAGCTGAGAGATTTACAATTTAACAACTTAGAAAACCAGCCATATCATACAGCAACAAGGAGGTTTACTCATTGTCATAATTACAGTCTCAGAAAAGAAGAAGAAAAAAAAAAAACAGAGTACCCGTTTACCTTCTTAAAGACAGCAACACAACAGCAGGATCATGTGTTCAGTGTATGAGACAAAATGTTTGAGTGTATGCATTTATATACACATTAAAGGAATAGCTCATCCAAAAATGAAAATTTGCTGAAAACGGACTCACTCTCAGGCCATTCAGTCAGGCCTCTTCATTACGTAAAAAGTTAAAATGTCTTAATGATGGATTTGTTTCTTACAAACACGCAGCTTTTCACTTCATACGATGTTAACTGATGGACTGGAGTGGTGTGGATTACTTGTGGATTATTGTGATGTTTTTATCAGCTGTTTGGACTCTCATTCTGACGGCACCCATTCACTGAAGAGGATTCACTGGTGAGCAAGTGATGCAATGATAAATTTCTCCAAATCTGTTCCTATGAAGAAACATACTCATCTACATCTTGAATGGCCTGAGAGTAAGTACATTTTCATAAATTTTTTATTTTTGGGCGAACTTTCCCTTTAATGTAGATGAATCCGTTTTTTGAAAAATTGCAATAATAGAAAATGCTCCTCATCCATTCATGAACAAATGCCACATTTAAGGAGCAGTTTACCAAAGAAATGCACTCCAAAAGTATATTATGCATTAAGAAAACTAACCTTATTTTTAGAATTATTATATTTTCACATTGATAATTAAGTATATATCCTCTCAAAATTCTCATTAATGTAATGCAAAAACATGCTTAAATTGTAATGCAATAATCAAAATGAACAATTTTAACTAATTAAATAAACTAAAAAACACTTTTAGTTTTTTGCACAGGCAGTGCAAAAAACACTTTTCAATTTAAATAATGTAGCCTTTTTACATTACAGTATGGAGAACGAGAGGTTTTTGGCATTACTTTAATGATAAACTGGAGTAAAATGTGCTTAACTGTCATGAAAATAACATCACAACATAGTTCTAAAAATATGCTAAGTTTTCTTTATGCAAAATATAATTTCTTTTTTTTTCCCTTTGGTTCTGGGGTGAAATATGACTCGGACAGGTTTTCTTGAGAATCTCAATGCCAGGTTTGCTTTATATTTTGCAGTGCACAGACGTGAGGAACAGCAGCTTCATGATGTTGGGTGCAGCATCACTGGGGTAGGGTCTGTGTTACATGCAATACGCTCCTCACAGGAGCACAAACTCATCTGTGCTTCCTCTCTTACTGTTCCTGCTCATTCTGTTGCATGAGAAAATGTTTGCAGGACCGTCCATGGACCCCCCGCTCTGCCCCTCCAGTCCATAGTTCTGTCCCCTGCCCTCTACAAATGTAAAGATGGGATACTTCTCTTTAGAGGATGACAAAGCCTGAAAAAGAACAAAAAATAACATGCACATAGTAAAAAATATATAATAATATTTATTTCAGCTTCTTGATATTTATGCATTCATTCTTAAATGGCATAAAAATGACATTTCTGGCATTATTATTCATTTTTTTATTACAATAAACATATATCCTATTGATTCAAACAAGACACTCACTTCACTGACCGCTGAGCACAAAGACTCGAAGTCTTTCTTAGTCTGCGCGTAGAACCCGATGGTGCAGCTGGGATCCATACGACTAAAGTTCATCTTCCTGGGTGAGTTACAGTGAAAAGACTACGAGAGAAAAGACCAATGCAGCTTCAGTTCCTCATACATGGTCAAAACTTTGAAATGAAAATGTCTTCTGATGGAAATGTAATGTTTTATTGTTTCTCTTTGAGTAAAGAGGTTTGCTTTCCATCTCACCTCCAGAGAGAAGTTGCCGTGGGTGACGTCCACCACTGGCTGACAGTAGTGTGGGTCTAGATACAATAGCTTCTCGTCTGGAAGACAGAGAGCGGTCAATCAGAGAGCGGACAGGAACGCAGTAACCAATCAAAACATAGCTCTTAATAGACACATACCTTGAAAACCAATAAAAAACAGGGAATGCTTGGGTTTTCCTCCAATAATTCCTATACAGCATTTTAACTTGAGAATGTTCTAGGAAAAGAGAGGTTCTTCATTTAAGAAAAAATGTCAACATAAGGCCTTTTTGTCAAGTAATTAAAAAGCATTAAACAATTCTAACCAAGTGTTAAACTATTCTAAATTAATGTAAAAAAAAAAAAGTATATATATAGTATATACTGTATATTATATATAAATGTAATATATTTGATTTATATATATATATATATATATATATATTTTTTTTTTTTACATTTTGTTTGTAAAGATGTTTGGGTTAAAGATGTAAAGATTTTTGTTTAGATTTAACATTTACATTTGGACAAAAATTGGCTTAAGATTTATAAGTAATATTTTTTATTCATTACTAATATAATAATATAGTTAAGTTTTTAATATACAGGTTGTTTTTAATATAAGCTGCTTCATTTTTACACAAATATATGTGTTATGCTAAATGATGATGACATTTTTTCACCCATATTTTGACATTTTATGTTCACAAAAGTTATTTGAAACATTAAAGTAGACACTTTACTTGTATATTATGCTTTTTATGTATATAAAATCACTTTTGTAAATTTAATTTGCTCTGGATATATAATATAATATAATATAATATAATATATGTTAACTTATCATACATCACATATATCACAGTTCTTATTGAGGTGATGTGCAGTATATGTACCTTAACGCACTCAATGTAGGAGGGGTTTAATGATTCTCCTCCGAGCCGCACTGGCACTAGAATGATGACTGATTTCCAGCCTGTGCCACCAGACTCGGACAGCTCACACAACCTCATGATATCTCCTTTATACACTGCAGCACAGACAGAAGCAGAAGCATGAGCTAAACATCACTTAGAAACAGGAAAAACCTTCAGTTTCACTAACTGATTTTTAAAAATGACCGCAGGATGCACAGCCCACAAGACTGAACATGAAAACGCACCCGTGCAGTCCTGTGCCACGTATACAGCAAGGTTGTGAAACTCAGCGGTTCTAGCCACTGCTTTTCTGGTAGAAGAAAAGACATTAAATGACAAAAAGTTCAGTTCACACTGTTCAGTTATTAAAACGAAGCTTTTACATCTAAATACAATAACATTCATTTGCTCTCCTCTAACCTCAGCATATGTGCCACTACGGACGGGCCGTACCAGTCCCCTGCCCTCTTCCCAGACTCCTTTCCCAGCTCCACCAGCTGGTGGACACCAAAAGGAACTGAGGGATGGTCCCCAAACCAAGACACCACCTTTCGGTGCAAAGCCTCCACCTGAGGCTCATGGCTGGCTGCAGGACATCCCCCCGGGGTCCGCCTGTGACCCTCACTGCTGCCAGAGCTCGGGTCTCTCTGGGAAACGGGGCTGGTCCAGGAAGAACTGAAAGACGGAAGGGACATGCCAGCCGGACGGGAGGGCGAGCGAGGCTTCAGCACCTCAAAATCAACGTCTGTCAGTGGATGACAATCCGCCCACCTCCAGTCTGAGATACAGAGAGCAGCAGACAGTTGAGTCTATGGAAGTCAATTACACTACCATTTCAAAGTTTGGGTTCAGTAAGATTTAAAAAAATATAAAATAAATAAATAATAATAATAATACTTTTATTCAGCAAGGATGCATTAAATTGATTAAAAATGACAGTAAAGACATTTATAATGTTACAAAAGATTTATTTTTCAAATAAATTCTGTTCTTTTGAACTTTCTATTCATTGAAGAATCCTGAAAAAAATATATCACAATTTCCACAAAAATATTAAGCAGCACAACTGTTATTAACATTGATAATAATCAGAGATGTTTCTTGAGCAGCAAATCAGCATATTAGAATGATTTCTGAAGGATCATGTGACACTGAAGACTGGAGAAATGATGCTGAAAATTCAGCTTTGATCACAGCAATAAATTACATTTTAAAATCTATTTAAGTAGAAAACTGTTTTTTTTTTTTTTTATTGTAATAATATTCCACAATATTTCTGTTCTTACAGTATCTTTAAACCAATAAATGCGGCCCTGGTAAGCAAAATGTTCTTTCAAAAACATTTTTAAAAAATCCAACCCTAAATTTTTGAACAGCATAGTGTATATATTAAAGCACTAATGAACTATATGACTTAACTACAGTTGTTTATTATGGTTAATAAAAGTTTTTTTTTATATATATTTAAGCAGGTTTTAGGCATTCTGCTTTGCATCATTAACATGTTGCTTTATAATCTGCATTTAATTTACATGCAAATAAACAAATGGGACAGTAAATCAGACCTGGAGGCATGAGGTGCTGCAGTAACCCCTGCGCCAGCAGCATTTGTCCGCTGCGCAGCATGCAGCCCCAGCCGCAGTCTGTGGTCAGACTGGATCCCTCCAGCTGAGGAAACTCCTTTCTGTAGGTGAGCCACACGCACGACACGAACGCCTGCCGGAAACTATCCACCTCATCTGGGAATGAGATGCAAAAGAATACAACCTTCAACATTTGTATACGATTTATTCTCTAGTTTAAAATGCAGAGACTAAAAGTGTGGCATTCGTAGGTTAAGTTGACTCAACCAGTGGCGGCTCTCAGGCAGATCACATGACGCACCTTCACTATTGAACAGATAGGACTGACCCAGGAGGATCAGAGGGGAGGTCTTGTTGAAGGTAGTTTTGGATTTAACGGTCCAGCCTGGGAAAATGAAGACAGGAACTCGCTGAGATACAGTCAGTGATATTTGTTGTGGTCATTTGTGAACATGTGCCTCTACATCTGACTTCAAAAATAGCCTGAGAAAAAAGGAACTAAGCATTTGTGGCATTATTTGGTGTCAGTCATAGAAACCAGTTCGCAAACCGTAACAATCCCATTCATATGCTTGAAAACTAACCATATTTGACATTGTTCCAGGCGGACATGAACTTGGCTTTCAGGCGATCCACTTCATCGGGCTCTCCGGAGCCTTCTCTGATGCCGTCAGGCGCTGAGCCGTGGCCGTTGTGGCGTCTGGACTGCGCTGAGGGCCTGTCCTCATGAGTGCCGCCGCCCACTATGTACTGAACACCACTGGGAGACACCGAGTTCATGGTTCAGGCTGGATACAGCAGCATTACAGAAGAACTTCAGCCTGAAACAGAGAGACAGAAAGAGAATATATGGTATGAGAGGTTCCTTAATTTCTTGGTACATTTTTGATGTCATGAGCAATTGGTAGTTCCTTGACCTTCTGAAATAAAACAGCTGTGATTTTCAGAACTCAAAACCTTCCTCAGTCCAAAAAAAAGCTGCCAAAAATGTCTCATTCTGAATATGAAATCAGATTTCTGACATCAGAAACACTGAAGCATTAACATGTGACACCCACATTTACATAATTAATGATGCCTATTCAGTGTCACGGTGAAGTTATATTGAGAAAACAGGTTAGATACTAGAGATGCTTAAAATACTGCTACCATATTAGTTATTGGATTTTTTAATTTATTGATATCAGTCGACTATGGATATTTAATTGTGCATGCTCATTTCTTCATTTAGATGAGCTTTGTCATTTAACACTCACTTAAAGGTAATATTTAAAACATGAATTTAATAACACAACAACAACAATAAAAAAAATAATACATATTTAATGAATATCAATTATATTTATTTGTACATTTTGAAGTAGAGAAGCCTAAATTAACTTTTTTTTTTAAATTAATTTAATTAAAAATTAAAAAATCTTTTGTACCATTAGAATACCATGGTATTCTCTGGTGAATAATTCAGCACGATGTACAGGATTCCCACAACTTTTGATCAATGATTTTTCTAGGACTTTCCAAGTAATTTCCAGTCATCCAGATTACTAAAATTGTATAATTCCAGGGATTTTTTTGATTGTTATAATCATTTTAGACATTGACTCACACAAAGTAATTGATAAATTATTTTAGAGCTTATCACAGTCAAATAGAAAAATGTATACAGACCTACACAACTGTTCAAAGGTTTGGGGTAGGTAGGATTTTTTTTTTTTTGTATGTTTTTGAAAAAAAAAAAATGTTATTCAACATTTTTTATTTCTTATTCACTTATCCTCATCAAGGCTGCATTTATTTGAGCAAAATATAGTAAAAACAGTAATATTTTGAAATATTATTACAATTTCAAATAACTTTTCTATTTGATTTTTTTTAATGTAATTTCTGTGATGGCAAAGCTGAATTTAGTCCTCAAGAAACATTTCTTATTATTATCAATATTGAAATCAGTTAATGTTTTGGTAGAAACCGCAATATATTTTTTCAGGATTCTTTGATGAAAATAAAGTTCAAAAGAACAGCATTTATTTGAAATTTAAATCTATTGTAACATTGTAAATGTATTTACTGGCACTTTTGATCAATTTAATGAGTTCCTGCTATTTTTTATTTTTTTTTAATCTTGACGTTTGAATGGTAGTGTAATTGTATATATATATATATATATATATATATATATACATTTTTTTTTAATTATTATTCATTTACATTTTTGCATGGCTAAAAAAAAAAAAAATCACAATTTCACTGATATTTCCATGCTTTCCATGACTGTGGAAACTCTGCCTGTGATTACCAACATGAATATACAAATCCAACTTAATACAATAATAGAGTTACGGTACTTTATAGGAGCATCAAAGAAGTCACAACTTTAATTACTCACTATAATGTGACACCACAATACACACCTTTCAATCTAGAAAACATTCCACCTGTGTGTTACGCAAACAAACAAGCTGTGTGTGAGAAAGAGCCTGTCACATGAGCCCTGACTGAGGACAGGTGTGGCGGCTGACGGCCACAAGAGTTCAAGTACACGTTACAGTGTGCCATTTCCTTATTCTCTCAAGGAGGTTTGAGCTTACAGTCTAACGAAGGGAAATAAGACAATGTCACCAGTTCACGATGACAGTAAAATCTATCAAATTTCCACTTCATTCTAGTACACTTGACTGCTTGGGGAAAGTGGATACATGTGAATTTTAGACCATGTGACCACTGAGTGCTCAGCAGAAAAAGTGAACACACAGGTCATCACAATGGCTTCATTCAGAACAGTATACTACATTTATACTAGGTTACTGGCATGATAATAGTGTGTGAATTCTCCGTTTGCACAGAATACTTGCATAAACTATTACATTTGTCAAAATGTGTTTCCCACAATGCAGTGCATGTCCTGTCCTACTATGAACAACAATCAATTTTGACTGCCAAAATTGAAGGCATTTTACAAAAAATTGGAAGAAAAAAACAGTAATTAAACATCTAGACTGCACCCTCTCAATTCAACATGCAACTTCTTGAGGTCACCACTGTAGAAAAGACTAGGCAGTATAAGTATATAATGCACATATTGCTCATAATGCACTACGAAGTTCACTAATATTTCATTATAAACACAGCCTAAAAGAGGAAAATCCAGTTTACTGTAGATAATTGTGAAATAATGTCATTGGAAATAAGTCATTCATATTAGTACGGAGCAATCGCCTACTTTTAGTCATGATACAGCTTTTAATGCCCTAAAATGACCCAGCTCATTGTGAATCTTTATAAGGCAGCCTGATTTGTGTGGTTTGTGAGGAATATTTTCAAATCAAGTGTGAAGACAGATATCATGTATCCAGGCACTACGACTCTAATAAGCTTCAAAAGTCATTTTAGCCAGCTAGAGGCGTTACCTTCACGTTAGACCCGGCATGTTTGATGTTCCGGATATTTTCCTACTTCTGCTATAAATAGGCAGCGTCGTCCAGTCAGTGTCGAGCTGCTCGACCGCTTGTCTGGATGTCTTGACAAGGACGACCGCTGTGTGAACCCGAGCTCAGGCCTCCTCAGGCGCCGTCATCCTGGCGAGTATCGATTAAAGCTGTAGTCATGAGTTTCTGCGTCTTTACAATCTTGCGCGGCTCCCGAGCTGTCTGTCTGTCAGCTGAGACGAAGAGTGCATAAAACAGCGATTAAACCAGTATGCAGCCACTTCCTGTTGTCATTGCGGATACACACCCTCGACCCGCCCACCGAGCGACGTGATTGGTCAGGTTTGACAGTTGCCGTTTAATGATTGGACAATCTACTAAACGTACGAGACACTGTAGTCAATTAATTATAAATTATTTTATTTATTTATTTAATTGATCAAATATGTACATACAAGATGAATATAAAGTAAAGCAATAGTCTGGGGTGTCAAAAGGAAATAATTAATTTTGGTATTTATTTGGTTAGTCAGATTTTACATTCATGAGGGGAAAACATGTCCACGTTCCAGTTTTTATAGACAAAGTTGTGTCAGACATTCACAATTACTAGTATAAATCAGTAAAAGGTCATGGTAGTGTTATGCTTTGTTTGCAGTTGAGTAGATTCTGCTTGCAAAGCACTAATAGCATCATTGTGATCATGATAACAGTATCAGGCTAGTTTTTGTAGTTGCAAAAGGTCAGTTTGAGTAGCGTTAACTAATAATCCATAACTGTGATAAGGGAGGTCAAAAGCTCTGTGACTAAAAGTCTATAACTATGTTGACTTGACTGAGAATCTAGCAATACCTTAATAAAAAATGAAAACCCTAGCAACTCAAACTAACAGACAAGGAGGTTCTGGTTCACTGTTCAACGTTTGTCTTGATGAACTTTCTAGTTCAAGTTTAGCAGGCTATTCTCCAAAGCAAATAAAAGAAGCATGGCATTTTATACAATATCTCTTTATTAATAGATTACACACACTGCACCTCAGTTAATGGATCGATTGACATTTGCTGTAAATAAAAGTGATGTACAGAGCCAAATAAATAGAATAAATTAACAAATTCATGTACAAAATGCCACAACAGGTGATACAAGATTGAGATACTCTTCATTTCTCCTATGTAGGACATTCATATTAGAACGGAATATCTTTATGTCTTTATTTACCTCTATGTACAGTATTGTTCAGAATTTTGGACAGTTTGATAAAACGACAAAGAACGTATAAATTAAAATGACATGAAATAAAGTGCATTCTCAAAAGATCACATTTTATAGGAAATTACATTAAAAACAGAAATTTCTCAAATATGGCCACATAAACACAAACACATAAGAATATAATCTGACACATAGGAGTGGATAACAAACTTTTAATATGTGTGGATTCTTGTTTTTAGTTCACTCTGTGAATCTATTCTGCAGTGTAAATCCAATCATTCAGAACTGAATAAGACACAGGGCTTTACAGTACAGATTAAGTGATCATTATAAAACATTAGTCTCATATTCGATCAGCTATAACAGTCACATGGTATAAAGTGGAAACATTCAGGCCAGTGAAGTGTTAGTTGCCTTTAACCACAACTAAGAATTCATGCACGGGAAAGAATAATCTGAAATTCAGTTTTCTGGTGTGTAACATCAGATATATTCACACATTCACCCAAAATCTTTACATTACTTTGTGCATATGTTGTCGTCACTTCTCCATTTCACTGATGCATCCAAATAACTCTCTGATATACTTTGTGTTGAGTTTCTATATAATATAATATATGTTTTAATAGATATAAAGAAATCTTCACTAACACTGAAACCAGATATGAAACAGCAAAAGATATTTGAGATGAGATGAGAGCTGATGAAAAATAAACAACGTCAGAATACATTTATGGAAGTATTAATAGATATCAATCGTCTACCCAAAGGCATCATCATCCTACAGTAATTCAATACCTCTGTACGGTACTATGAAATACAAATAAATAAAGCACTCTTGGTTTCGTCACTGATTGCAACCCATACTACTATTATCACTGTAAATATAAGATGTAAGTGATGTAACACTATAGTGACAGTGTTCCTGTTAGCCATCAGATGGCAGCATAACTCCATCTATTCCAGCCACACCTCAACTCATCATCATCATCATCATCATCTAGCAATATGCTCATTTATACACGGCATTAATAAATAAATGAATTAAAATGATAAATCAAAAATAATAATGTCCTTAGTTCTATATTATCATTAAATAATTAAGTGTCGAAATCTGATAAATTACTGAAAATGTCTAGAAGATGTGTAGTTTTGCTCTTGCAGATTCTTTTGAAAAAAACAAACCTTTTTTAGTCTGTCTTCTGATTTTGTTTACATATTATAAACTTGATAATACTAAGGAAAATGCTAGTTATACTAATTAGTTCATTATTGTTTTATACCATTTCTTTACTATGTTTCACTACTAATACCATAGCTAAACTATGGATACTTTAGTAAAACCACTGTTCATCTTCACAACTGTTTCCTATTGATGTTTAATTGAAAATGGCAAAAGAACAAACACGGCAAAAAAGCATCAGTCACATCCCTACAAACATTTGTTTTGCATAAGCTTGAGTGAAAACAGAGTTACTTTAGTAACAAATGTTTAGTGATATTTTCGTTGCATGTTAGTGAACAACATTCAGACCACACAAAGAAACACCAACAGACGGCAGGCTACACCGGCTCCAAGTTGCCATGACAACAGTGACATTTACTGATGCTTGAGTAACTATAGAATATATTTACCATAGAATCCTCTTTCACTCAGCAGATTCCAACTACCATCATTAATTTGCTGATCCAACAGTTTCTGTAATCAAGACCTGTGTTATATGACAAGACGATACTCATGTCCTTCAAATTTGTTGATATGTATTTAGCACTTACGGTTTTTAGTTTATAATCTCACTTTCAATAGTCACTGCTCCAGAAAACATAGCCAGTGCCTTGCAAAGATGTTCAAACCCTTAACCACTTCTCTCATTTTACTGATTTACAAAATGCATTTGCATTCATTTCAATACACAGTTTCTTTTGAATGACTGTCAATGCTCTCTTTGCCAGCCAGATGGTGTAGTTATGACATCTAACATCAGGGGCTAACTGGGCCATGCTAACCAGCCAAACTTTGACCCCTTGCTTTAACCGACTGCAAACCCCCATGGCTGAAGAATTATAATTCAGGTAGAGAATATGAGACTTGAGCGCTAGAGTCACAGTGAGGTCAACGATCACTTTCAAGGAGAATTCAGTAGCACAGAATAGAGTAAAGATGCACCAGTCCATGTCAAGAGCTGTACATTACATTGACCTACTTTTGAGTATGAATCAAATCTGCCAGTAAACTGTAAATTTACAGAGACACTGTAAGGCTAGAAACACACTCTAGGCAAGTATGCAAACATAGAGGCACCTGCTTGTCAATGCATACTAAGGAACTTATTCTTCTATGGTCAGATCAATGATTGTCTTGGAGGAACATCATTGCCTTTTTAGTTTAGTTAGTTTGATTTGAGAATAAATAGCTAAATTTAGCTACAAGATGCTAAATTTATGATACCATTTATTATATTGGTGATTTGACAAGTTATTTCAATGTAAGCTTTGAATATTTTAGTCTTTCCCCATTCAAAACTGGCCACCAAATGCACCACCTTGCTGTAAATGGACTGATATTTACCTCAGAAGGCATCAATCAGCAAAATCGACAAAATGTCAACAGTTTCAACTGTCTTAATTCAGTATGATGAGAGACTTAGTTAAGAGGGAATTTTATAAGGGGAATGAATCTATGGTTTAGGCAGTATCCTCCTCATGGCTAAAGCAGTATGCGCTAGCCACTAATGCAGTGGCAGCATTTCACAGAACCATAAGGTATGGCACTGGCCTCCCCCTCGATTCGTTCCAGTCTGTTCTTGGTCTGTCCTAAAGCCCTGGGGGGAGGTCCCCTCTCGGTTGAAATCGCGTTCCGGGGTCGTGGGGGGTCGCCTAGGGTATGGCAATGAACAACTGGGGTATGGCGACTGCCATACGGAAATGCTGCCCCTGCACTAATGGATATGCTAAACCTGATTATAAACTCCTGAATCATGTAACAAGCCAAAAAAAAAAAAAAACAGCTAAGGAAGCAATGTGTTCTTGATTATGTTCTGTCTATGCCAAAAACTTGATATGCCGTTACCTTGAACAAATTCTTTTCAGTTTAAGGAAATGAAGTGGTTGGTCAGCTTAGAAAAGTAGTAACATTGTTTTGGTGTTCACAGTATTCAGCATTGCTTGATCTGTTAAAGCACTTTCAATTTTTTTACCTTGTAGCACAAGCACCACAAAACATGCACCAATTCATCTCCTCATACATAAACACCCAACACACATTCTAATATAATACATCTATAATCTTTTTCTGATGCAGCTCTGCATGTACACTAAATAACAGGAGTTGTGGTCTTTGTTCAGCGTAATATGGTTTAATGTCTTTTTTTCACTGGGTGGAATGTCCCTAAAAGTCTAAGTGCTCAAAAACAGTGAATTCTGCTAAACCCTAAAAAAAAAAGCATTTATTATTCCAACTAGCACAAGATCAAGAGCCATGCTTAGGAGTAATGACAGTCTTCACCTGCGGAGAGGTGCTAGTAGGACTCTGACTGACTCCTTTGGTGCTTGGTCTACTCCCAGAAGCAGGATCAGGTCTTCCTGGTGCACAAGCCTTGGTGACCTCCAATGATTTGGTGGTATCTTTGGCATTGGGCCCCTCCTGAGTTCCACCTCTAACAGGCCCTATAGATTTCCCTGTGCTTGTCAACTGTGTAGCCAAACCAGATTTTTCACCAGGAGACTGAAGTTGAGTTTTGGGCAGATCAGGAGGAACTCCAGTTGGAGAAGGAGTGGGAGATGGAGAGTGTTCCTCAACAACTTCCAAGAGACATTTGTCCTCCCAATCCAATGTTCCCCGGTAGCAGCTGACCGGAGCTAAGCCCTTGTCCTGCCTAAGTTTTCCCAAAGCAGAGCACTGCACCTGGGGTGGGTGGGATGGGACAACCCCTTTGGATGGAGCAGTTCTTGCCCTGACATCTAAAGTTCTGGTATGGGAATCTAATATGCTCTTTTTGAAACCCTCTCTGTCACCTGGTCCCTTACTTGCTTTGGTTATCTCTGTGCTTGTTGTCTTCCCAGGATCACTGCATAGCATACTTGGCTTGACTGAAGTTGAAGTCTTCCCAAAATCTGATTTCACCTCTTTCTTCCCAGTACCCTTTCCCCCTTCTTTCTCCAACAAGTCTTTGTTGATAACACCTGATGTACTCACAGAGCATGAAGGCTTAGTGGTTCCTAATGCCTGGCTTTGGACATCTTTTGTAAGACTTCCTTGGTCATAATTTCCCATTTCCTTAATGAAACTTGGATCTGTTGTTTTGGCAGACGGGGAAGATGTTGTGGTCAGGGGCGATGGAATAGAGGCAACTACACTAGGTTTGGACTCTGATGCTACCGGAGGCTGCCAAGTCTGAGGCTTGGCTAGGCAACTTTCCTGTAGTGTAGAAGGGGGCCGCGGAGATGCTTCAACACTTGGAGATTTCTTACTTCCAGGTGGAGTAATGCCACCAGAAGGGAGCGTCTCTTTGACTGCCCCTGGTTTAGCCTCACTAACTTGACTTGGTTCACCAGTCCTCTCCTTGTCTCGATCCCTTTCCCTCCCGGCAAGCAAAGCATCTCTACTCAAAGGTGACTCCTGCCTGCCCAGCTTCCGGACCGGCTTCAGAACACCCTTTTCAGGCGGTGACGGTTGAGTGGGTGAAGGAGAAGTTGTTGGAGCAGATGCCAGATTCTCACCCTCAATTTCCACCAAACTCTGGAGGCCAAGCTCACAGTGGAAACCATCCTTACGAAAATCTGAATGTCCAACCTCCAAACTGTGCTTCCTCATCACGCCAATCCCACCTTTCTTCTCAGATGAAGATGAAAGCGGTGACCCGAGTTTCTCTGCTGACTGCACTCTTTTGAGTAGCGGTGATCTGGGTGGCTCGGCACTCTTGGGTCTAGGCCTTATGATTGGTGGGGATGAGTGTAGTTTGACAGGAAAGGTTTGGGTGGTGTTGGAGCTTCCGACTGTGTGCCCAGGCAAAGGAGGTGGTGAGGACTGAGTTGGGGATGGTGTATGAGCCAATGGAGACAAAGGAATGTTGCCCGCTGACTTGCAGCGGGCTGAACGGTATTGGCGGTGTAGTTTGGGGGAAAGTCCATGCAGGGAGCTGGGTCTCATATGCTGGGTTGTTGCGGGGGAATTTGGGGTACTGGAGGCAGGAGAACTGCTCTGGGAGGAGGCACCTGGGTCAAGAATATCAACAGGCAATTGAAATGAATGTATACATTAAACCTTTTAAGTTGTTGGGTTTTACCTTTGATATCACAACATATGCTTTGATCTACTCACCAAGATGGGATGACTCGGGGGTTGAGCGGTAGCTCTGGGTAGGGGAGTGACCGGACAGGCTGTGTGTCGGAGAGCCAGGAAGACTATCGCTGGATGACAGGGACCGGTTCAGAGATGACAAACTACGGCTCGTATGCAGCAGGTTGGATTGCTTAGTTATTTTGCGGAACAAAGACCCGCGTCTCTTACTGTGCATGATCATGGAAGAAAAAGAGAGAAACAGACAGGGGTAAGAAAAAAGATATTCTTTATATAGACAATCTTCACAACTGGAGGCACATTGTACCTCTCCTGTCCCTCTTTGACTGTCCTCTTACTGCGTCTAGCCATCTTGGACTTGTAACTGGACTTGCGTGCTGGTCCCACTTTAATGGACGTGTTTTCAAAAGGTGTTGTGGTCACAGTCACCTTGTTTCCACTCTGAACAAAGAAAAAGCAAAGAAACAAATAGGACTGTTTGAATAGTTATATTCTCAGGTCATGTCTGTTATTACTTCTCTGTGTGGTCTAACTTACAATTTTTGCCTCGCTGATGAGAACATCTTGTGTCTCACCTTAAGTATAAGCTCTACCACCTCGGTATGAACCAATCCATGCACAGATTCACTATTGACATGAGTGATGAGGTCACCAGCACATAGTCCCGCCTCCTGAGCAGGGCCTCCATCCTCCACATGCTGTGATTAGTTAAGGACAGAATTATTAATTGACCCAACATAGCTTCAACAAAACTATTGCTGCAAATCTGTTCTATACTCAATCAACCTTTTCTCATGTTGTATTGCTGTCTCACCCAGACTATGTGGTGCACACTGTAGACATCAGTGTCGCCCATGTAGACCCGAATGGCACGGAGTGTGAACCCATACTTTTTGCCAGAGCGGTGGATGGTAATTGGTGAACGAAGCACTGTTACTGTGGGGCAGTAATCACGGCTGGGAGAGGAGTCTCGTGATGAGGGGTTGGACGAGAGAGAGCGTGGGGACATTGGACTGGCCAATGGAGAGCTACCATGCTGCTCAACTAGATATTGATGAATCAATAATCAATATATTATAATTTTTTTGCACTTGGCATTATTTATATAACAATTGTATGATGACTTCTCCAAAGGAATGAAGGCTGAACTGTACCTCCGGGTATGATGACAGACAAAGCGGTGGCAGATGCAGATTTGATGACCTTGGTGCCGGGACGCGAGGTGCGTTTCTCCCCATCACTTGACAGCTGCTGGTGACGCGCTTGCCGAAGCACCAGATCCTTGGTCGCTCGCTGTCCGACAGTGTCACCCATGGCAACCACGTCCCTACCGACCACTGCTATGGCTCCTGGTATGGCCTGTGGTGCTGATATCTCACCTGGTCTCAGTGGCTTGTCTGCAAAATTTACATACACAGAAAATATGTCTATCTGAAACTCTACAGCAGGGGTGCCCAAACTCGGTCCTGGAGGGCCGGTGTCCTGCAGAGTTTAGCTCCAACCCTAATCAAACACACCTGAAGCAGCTAATCAAGGTCTTACTAGGCATACTAGAAACTTCCAGGCAGGTGTGTTGAGGCAAGTTGGAGCAAAACTCTACAGGACATCGGCCCTCCAGGACGAGTTTGGACACCCCTGCTCTACAGTCTATACATTTTTTTGCAATTTTTTTTCTTTTCCACTTACCTGCCCCTTTACTGGCTGACATCACTTCCTTTCCAGCATTCCTCTGTTCATTGGCACTGGGCGATGATGGAGCAGTGGCTCCCTCTACTAATGATCCCGGGGCTTTAGCAGCACCCTGCTTTTCTGAGAGCTCTCCATCACCCTCTTGAGGAGCGGCAAACCGGTGAGTGTCCATTAGGGCTGAAAAACGACGCCGGGCACCCATCGGAGGACTACAATCTCCCTCCATATACAGAGACTCAGAGCATGATAGACGCTTCCTGTGGAAATGAAAAAAAAAAAAAAGAATGTTAAAATACAGTAATTTTGATAGAATATCTTCATATGCAGTGATGTACAATTATATTCAATTTAACTCTCTCAAACATACATCTCAGGTGAGCCTGTCCTCCAGCTCTTGTCCCTCATAGTGAAGCTTCCCAGACTCTCCCGCTTGGCCATCTTGTCATCACGGCGACCTTTGTGCTCTCGACGGGTAACTACAGGGGTCTTCTGCTCCAGCTGGGACAGGTGCTCCATGCTGCTATACACCTGAAAGACAGAACAAAGGCTGTTTCGGTTACTCATCGCAGAAATGTTTCTTGAGCAGCAAATCATCATATCAGAATGATTTCTGAAGGATCATGTGACACTGAAGACTGGAGTGATGATGTTGAAAATTCAGCTTTGCATCACAGGAATAAACTACATTTTAAAACATATTCAAATAGAAAAAAATATTTTAAATTGTAATTATATTTCATAATATTGATGTTTTTACAGTATTTTTGCTGAAATAAATACAGACTTGTTGTGCATAAGACACTTCTGTCAATAAGATTAAAAAATCTTTGATCTGACTGTTTGAACAGTGATGTATATTATACTTTATGGTGGCTTTTTTGTTATTTTGGTGCTTGAAATCACTTGAAATATATAATCCAAGGTCTTTGCTCAGCAAGTGGTCTTGAAGAGGGTTGCACGTCTATACAAAAATATAAAAATAAATAAATAAACATTCACTGGAGTTAAAATTGTGACAATTATGCCTGGTCTCCCCTAAAAGGAATCAGAGGATGCAATGTGACCTTGATGGACCATTAAAAATTAAATAAGAAGAAAGATAAAGAAGAAAGATGAGTGTTAATGTGTCTGTTTACACATTCAAGGGTGCTTCTGAGAAAAGAAAGCATGAAATATGAATGCAGCCATGTGTCAGAATGACCTTGCTGAAGCGCGGCGAGCAGGAGGAGAACTGTCTTATCTCTACTGGCTCATCGTCGTTGGTGTCGTCCTCGTCATAGGAGTTGATGTGCCGATAACGCTCGGACCGCGCTGAAACAGAGGGAGTGTGAGATGATGATGAGAGATAGAGAGATGGCGATCAAGGGCAGACTCAAAAGCAAGTGTGAGAGTGTCCTTACTGTCGAAATAGCTGGTGTCCTCCTCAGACTCTAGATGAGGGATAAACTCGGCCTTCTGTCGGAGTAAACCATTCCAGTCCAATCCCAAGAAAAACCAGTGCTGCTTCACTTCAAACGCACCACCTGTTCACACAAGTGTAAAGAGAAGTACATTTATAGACAAACAGATAAACATGCAATCCTGGTAAGATAAGGTGTTATGGCCATGCATTGTGGTGCAAAAACTGGTTTACGCAAGTCTGACTTGCTTTCTTTTTTTCCAGAACTATCCTAATATGCTAATAATGCGTTCAAGCAACGGTTTTACATACAGTTAAAATCTGTGTAAAGCAATATTAAATATGTGTTCTGAGTTTGTCACACCACAGAAAAATGTGTTATTATCAAAATATTGAAAAAAATAAGCAGTATTCTCTGCTCTCAAACGCTGGGGGCATGTCCGCTGTCAGCGCTGAAACCACACCCACTCGCAGGAAAGCTGCCATCTCTCTCAACTGTCAAATACTGCTACAACCTGAATGAATGTTCCTTCTAGCAGCTTAATTAAAATATGGAGACCGAGCTGTTTTGTAAATTATCGCAACCAGGTAATATGCATTAATGTGACGAAGGCATAGCTAGCTAGCAAACTGTGGGCTGTAGTAACTAACAGTAATGACAGTAACTGATGCTAATGCGCTCTAGTTATTAGGTGTGTTCGACTTGAAGCAGCGCTGTGCAGACCAAGCACACGTCAAGCACATGGGGAGGCAGGGAGTTTAGCCCCCCTAGGACCCCTGAAGTAGCAACACATGACGGCTCCACAGCTCTGGGTGGGGTTGCCATATCGAGCCGTTTGCTTGAGACAACAGGTCCCTCCTGAGGGGGAGCCACCAACATCTTTTGGTTTATTCGGTTTATTTGGCCAGTTCGGGGCCGACACTCTCTCTTCCCTGATTTTGTATAACACCAGAGGCAAAATCTTCACCGGAGGGAACGCATAAAGTCTGGCTCTAGGCCAGCGCAATGTCAGAGTGTCCACCATCAATGGGAAGTGAGACAGCGAAAAGAACAGCGGGCAGTGTGTGTTCTCGCCTGTTGTGAACAGATCCACCTCCAGGGCCCTGGAGCACACGCCGCCAAGCGGTTTATGTGCCACCTGCTCTGAGGCTCTGACCACAGGCCTGAAGCTGGCATACCCTCACACACTGCTCCCCAGCCTGAGGTCGACGCATCTGTCGTAACCACAGTGTGTGCCGTCACTAGTCCCAAGGTAACCCCCTGGCTGAACATTTCTGGGTCGCAACGCAAATTCGGCAAAAGGTATAGCCATCGGATGCGGTGAAGAAGCTGTTGTATCTTCTGGTGCATCTTCGACGATGGCAGCGTGAAGGAGAAGATTCTGAGGCAATTATCGCTCTCACCGCATTATATACTGCCCGCAGGCTTGTCAGTATTTGCATGGGATTTGCATATTTAGTGACAATTTTCCAGTTTATTGTACTGGCGTTATCCTATAAGGTTTCAGGATTTTCGGAGAAGAGGAGGTGTTCCCACTGCTAATGCGTCGCGATATAGAGTGAACGCTCGAAAGGGAACAGCAACTTTCATATTCTGTGACAGTTGCCATCATATTGAACAACATGAGGCTGAGTAAATCATGACAGAAGTTTCATTTTTGGGTGAACAATAATCTTTTGATCTTTTGTCAATAATCTTTTGATCAACAATGATCTTTTTTTTTTTTAAAGAAATTAATACTTTTATTCAGCAAGGATACATTAAACTGATCAAAAGTGACATTCAAAACATTTATAATGTTACAAAATAATTATATTTTGAGTAAATGTAGTTATTTTGAACTTTGTATTCATTCAAGTATCCTGAAAAAATGTGTCACAGTTTCCTTAAAAATATTAAGCAGCACAACTGTTTGCAACATTAGTAATAAGAAATGTTTCTTGAGTAATATCAGCATGTTAGAATGATTTCTGAAGGATCATGTGACACTGAAGACTGGAGTAATGATGCTGAAAATTCAGCTTTGATTCACAAGAATAAATGACATTTTACAATATATTCAAATAGCAAGCAGTTATTTGAAATTGTAATATTATTTCATAAAATTACCTAAAAATACTAAAATAGTATTTTTGATCAAATAAATGCAGCCTTGACATTAAAAAATCTTACTGACCTAACACTTTTGAACAGTAATTCTAGAAACAAGAAAGAAATACATGAAATTCTACAAAAGAAGGAAATAATCCAACAGAAAGAAATAATTTGCACAGATGAATTGCTCACAATAAGACCAAGAATATGTATTAAAGTCATAGCGTCCAATCTGAATTGATGTCATCTTGATTTGCATAAGTGTGTGAAGGTGTAGTAAACTGGTGGATGTGTACCTGTGCCCAATCGCACTAGTGGGTTGGTTTGCAGCAGGGCAGAAATCAGGCTCTGAGCTTCACTAGGCAGTGCCTCGTCTCCCTTAGGCCACTCAATATAATCTACACAAACACACACACAGAAATCTGTTGGCAGCACTGAAGCTCTTCATCACATTTCGGTGTATGGAATTACAAAGCTTTGCTAGAACAATAGAGGACTTTGGAAGAGGTTTCTGGAGGAGAAGAATGTGTTTGCTTTTGCTCTAATCAACACCGCTGCTGCTAATATTAGCTCAGGTGTTGCTTTGAAGCTCCGATGTGCTGGGACATGAAGTGTGATCAGGATTCACCTCAAGATTCAGACTCACCTGTGATCACCTGACCAAAGAGCTCTTCAGTTGTGTCTCCAAAGAACGGCACGCAGCCCACTAGGAATTCGTAGAGGATGATACCCATGGCCCACCAGTCCACTGGTTTCCCATAGCCCTGCCTGAGAATGACCTCCGGGGCGATATACTCCGGTGTACCACACACCTGAGACAGAGAGACAATACCATCCTGTTTACACCTGGCATGTGAACTGATCACAAGAGGACAGGCCTGTTTCCTTACCTGTTTGTCCAGGAACTCCCTGGCGTCCTTCTCGATGTGTCCCTCGTACAGGTTTGTGGTGAGATTCATGAGCCCCATTTTTGACAAGCCAAAATCCGTCAGCTTAATGTGACCCATCGACGTGATCAACAGACTGTGAAGAAGAACCACGAGCCATGAGCGTTCGCTTCAAAAATAAATGACAAGATGAGATCTGTTTTACACCTTGTAATAGAGAGCAACAGTTGGTTTCCAAAAGTAAAAATCCCATTTATTTTCTCCATAGTGGAATTGATTTTTAACGATAACTTATAAACCATTAAAGACAGACCTAGTCTGAACTACGAGTTAGTTAATAGATGATATAAGCTTTTGTTGAAGAAACCCCCCCTGCATTATTACAACATATTTTTTAAAATAGTCATAATCAACATCAGAATTCCTAATGAAAAACTACATTACCCATGATTCTGCAGAGAAATCTCCACCAATCAGAAGACTGAGAGAAGCACTATGATTGATGCTAGTCAGCTTTCTTATGCTCTCAAACTACTTAAATATTTGTGTATATATATATATATATACATATACACACACACACACACATATATCATATCATATCACATATTTATGTAATACACACAAGAAGATTTTT